TATATATATATATATATATATATATATATATTTAGAGAGAGAGAGTAACATATGTCTTTTGTGTCTTTACTGTCACCTTTCATAAATTGAATGCATTCTTTCTGACTCCAGAATTTTCAGTGGTGTAGTTTTAAGGACAAAGTGGCCCAAAGTTCACTTAGTTTATGTAATGTTTATAAGGAAGTTTATCTGAAATCTTATATAAACCTGAGAGCAAAACTGACTATACAGGTGTGCTCAAGGAAAACTTGTTTACCTTTACTATGTCTCATAAACAGAACTTGCAGTTTATTTCAAAGAGTCAATACAGTGAATTACAAATATTTGCTTTTAAGGAAGACTTGTTCTTCCTTAGAAGCAGCAGCCACGGCAGACTGATTAACTACTCGACTCCTATCTTTAAAAGCATAAAGCCAGCCAATCAGAGCAGAGCTTGTGATTAGGACAACATGATTGCCACTGTTGTGTTAATGTTAAAACATACATGCCAGTGTAAAAATGCCATTGTTTTATTGACACTAAAATGTTGGTGTTTTGACAATCATGAAAGGTCTGGTCACACAGGATAAGCTTAGTCTTGTTTATTATATTTTAGTGGATGATGAAGAGTCGGAGGGAGAGGAGTTCACTGTGCGAGACGGCTACATTCACTATGGTCAAACTGTCAAACTCGTGTGCTCTGTGACGGGCATGGCTCTTCCTCGACTGGTAAGCCCATGTCAATGTGTCTCTGTTCTTCTGATGATTTTCTCCATGTTATCATTTCTCTCTATTATACTCCGTTTTTTTTTCTATCAGATGACAGTATATATAATTAACAGACAGTTTATATAATTAAGTCTTTGGGGTCATGATCAGTCACTGCTGTGAAAAAAGCAGTTTGGGTACATGAAGACAGAACAATGTCGTCATCCTGATATTTATTATACTGATCTACTATCTACTGATACTCTTCCTTCCTTCCTTCTTCCCTGCCTGTCTTCTTCCCGAACACACACACACACACACACAGATCATCCGTAAGGTGGATAAGCAGACCGCCTTGCTGGATGCAGATGACCCCGTCTCTCAGCTGCATAAGTGTGCCTTTTACCTGAAGGATACGGAGAGGATGTACCTGTGCCTTTCTCAAGAGAGGATCATTCAATTTCAAGTGAGTCGATCGCTGGAAACATGGAGTAAATGCAGTTCACTGTGCTAATAATGGTGTCTTCAGTAATGTTCATAAAGAGAATGTTAGAAGCAGTTTGAGTTTTTATTTTTTTGCCAGTTTGAGTTATGCAGAGTGTTTAAAGTTGGAAATATGTATTCTTTTAACATTACTTGTGTACACTTTTCTCGAAGTGTATTGAAAGCATTTTGTAGCATTTTTTTATGACCTCCAAACGAAATATTTGTCCATTGTCAAAGGCTATATAGCGGATTCATTTAAGTTCATTCTTCATACCAATGCACATTTTTTAATGTGCACTAGTATTTAAAAGTTTGGGACTTGGGAGGTTCAATAGATTTTTGAAAAAAGTCTCTTATGTTCATCAAGGCTGTATTTATTTGGTCATATTAATGCAATTAATGCAAAAACTGTTTTCTATTTTAATACATTTCAAAATGTAATTTATTCCTGTGATGGCAAAGCTGAATTTTCAGCAGCCTTTACTCGGTCTTTAGTGTCACGTGATCCTTCAGCAACCATTTTAATAAGCTGATTTGGTGCTCAATAAATATTTCTTATTTTTTGAAAATTTGTGCTGCTTAAGATTTTTGTGGAAACTGTGGTAATTTTCTATTCAGGATTCTTTCATGAATAGAAATTTCAAAAGAAACAGTTTATTTAAAATAGAAATCATTTGTAACATTATAAATGTATTTAATGTCACTTTTGGTAAATTTAATGTCCTTGCTGAATAAAATTGTATATATATATATGGCATTTGGGCATCCTGATCCCAAACATTTGGTCAGTATATATGGTAGATATAAAATCTTTGATGGCTAGAAGCTTGCAGGTAAATTAAGAAAACAAAAACAAAAAACAGACATAGTCACAAAATATGTGCTAAATGTTAACTAACTAGTCCATAAAAAAGTCAGTTTGATGGCAGATTAATATTAATATATGGATTTTATATTGTAATGAATTTTCTTAGTGGAAGCATTATTTTTGTATATCTAGTAAGATAATAAATTATTTTAAACAGTTTCACATCCATGTATTTTTTTTTTTTTTTGATGTAAGTAGCCATCTAAGAAGTGGGATGAAGTCATTTTGTCATTATCACAAAATAAACCCCCTCGGGGTGATACAAGACTCCTGATTTGTGAGTTTATTTTGTGATAATAGCCAGATGATTGGATATTATACCTAATATTTTTCTTTGTAAACTTCTATTTTTGCGTTCAAAGTTTTTGTGTGTGTGTGTGTGTGTTTGTGTGTGTTTAGGCTACTCCATGCCCAAAGGAACCAAATAAGGAGATGATAAATGATGGTGCCTCCTGGACAATCATCAGCACTAATAAAGCAGAATACACCTTCTATGAGGGCATGGGCCCTGTACACACCCCCGTCACACCCGTGCCTGTGGTCGAGAGCTTACAGGTAACACACACACACACACACACACACACAGGCTTTTTCTTTTTCAGAAGCTTACATCTCTTACTTACATTGTCCACTCACAAGTCTCTGCCTGCGGTTGATAATGTGTGTACACTGTATGTGTGTGTGAGCAGTTAAATGGTGGAGGAGACGTAGCAATGCTGGAGCTGACAGGACAGAACTTCACTTCAAATCTGCGGGTGTGGTTTGGTGATGTAGAGGCTGAAACCATGTACAGGTATGGATGATATTTGAAAAGATATCTATATGGCAAAAGGGAATATAAATCCAAGAGGTTTTGGAATTCTGTTAATCTATGAACCGATAAATTTATATTGAGATTTTAATGAATACCGTTATAAACAGGCATCTAAAGGCCTGTAATACAAATGTTTATAAGTGCGATTCTTTAAAAGGAGTGTGAAATACTTGAATAATTGTACATTATTATCAAACTGAATACTTGTACTCTTATGCAATAACATTTCAAAGGCAAAGCTTTTACTTTTTCATGTAGACCGTTATATATTTCATGGGTTATCATGATTTAAATCATTCCTCTTTTAGTTCATCTTATTGATCGAACAAGTCAATCATTTTACAGTTAATGAAATTCATATCAGTGTAAAATGTAATTTCTATACTAAAATGTAAAGTAAGTTGCATTTTAATAAGTTTCAGTTTAACATCTGATGTGCCCCTTGTTAAAAATGAGTACTTATTACAGAAATAATAATTAGAATAATTAGAAGATATTAAACAGACAGTCTACTAATACTCTAATCACTGCTAGTTGACATGCAGTTGCAAAGTTACTTACTGTTAGTAGAATATCTAAAGTGGACTATCAAAATAAAGTGTTCCCGAATAATGTAATGTCAATTGCAATTAAATTAAAATTTATTATAGTTTACATTTATATTAAATGCAATTAGATGAATTTGTAAAGTGCTTTTGACCCACTTAAGTATATCTTTCATATATCATGATTTCCTTTATTGTCTTTGAAATATGGTTAAAGAGAATGTACTGACAAGTGTTTATAGTAAACTGAAATATACTTAAAAATTGTAGACAAATATAAATATATAACCTTGTAAAACCTTGACACTTTTTAAAAAGTGTACTGTGCTGTGTTAAGAAAGAGTCCTTGTAATTAATATTATATAATCTGCTAACTAAACTACATAAAAGATTTGAAGTACATACAATACAATAAAGCGCACTATATTTTCACAAGGGAGTCCTAAATCCTTATAAACCTGTTAAATGTAGCAGTAAATGACATGTTAAGCTTTGACAGGACATAAGTTGAGTGAAGTGCCTCTGCCTAGTAAAGCCGAAATGAACAAGACCCCACATGTATTGTTTAAAGCCTCATGTGGTCGTTAAAGAAAAATATGTACTTTTATTACTGCTGTCAGTTAAACATATTGCATGCAGGCAGTGACAGACTGAATTATTAATAGACGTGATATTTCCTCTAAAGGTGTGGCGAGAGCATGCTGTGCGTCGTCCCAGACATCTCGGCGTTCCGCGAGGGCTGGCGGTGGGTGCGGCAGCCGGTGCAAGTCCCTGTAACGCTGGTGCGTAACGATGGTATCATCTATTCCACGACGCTCACGTTCACATACACACCCGAACCCGGTCCCCGTCCACACTGCAGCGCAGCCGGCGCCATCCTCCGAGCGGGCAACACCAGCTTGCTGCTCTCCACGACCGGCAACAGCGCAGGAGGGAACGGAGAAACGGTGCCCTACGGTGCCAACAGCACATCTAACGCTGTCACAGCGGCGTCCTCTAATGCAGCCGCGGCTGTGGTGTTATAACACGCAGCAGCGCTCACAAACTCACAATGTGCTATGCGTGAAACAAATTCAACAGACTACAAACTGTTTGTAAAAGTGCTGCATATTGAATTTCAACATGCAAAAACAAGGGATAGATGGGTGAAAAAGGCAAAACCTGTGGCAAGGACAAAATATTTGAGAATGGTGCTCCTGTGCCCTCTTGTTGTTTTCTCTAAGGAGCCGGTGTGGTGCTAGCAATAGACAATGCCTGAGAGGAAACACCAGCACCGGACAACGGGTGTAGAAGACATGGAGACAAGACCACAGCAATGATACATCAGCCGTGTACAAAATGCGTCGACTGAAAATGATGTTCAGTCTCTTATGTTTTTTCCTTCCGGTCTGTGAATGCGATTGGGTGAGATGTATCATAGCCTGGGAGGCCTAAACTCACACTGAAAATGGTCACATTGAAATTGTGAGATGACAGTTTTTATGGACCACGGATATTGTATAAGCTTTAGTAAAGGTACTTTTTTTTTTTTTTCTCCATACCTTTTTTATATCAAACATTATAGTACGCTTTTGTTACCAAATAGGTTCTATTCCTCCTCTGAGCTTTTTCTGTATATAGCTGCTTTCGTATACATCTGTTCGGTTAGATTCCTTCAGTTTTGCTACTTTGTATTTTGTAAAACCGTTGTTTTTTTCCCCCCTTTTTGTTTCCCATTCAGTTTAGTTGTTTTCATTTTTCATTTGGAAGAAACTCAGAGGAACTGTTTTTTTTTTATCCTTCGTTTTTATGAAGTCTTTAAAAAGAAAAGAGCTTTAAGCAATGCCTCTGCCTTGCCTGCATTACGATATGCGCTACGCTTCCTTTAAGCATTTCATCGATGTGTCTAGATCTCACAAAAGGAACGATGCCATCTTTCTGTCTTATTTGGGAATTGAAACCAGAAAACACAAAATAGAGGCTTTAGATGCAATGTGTCTCTTCGATACGGTAGTTCATTTGTTCTAGAGCACGGGTAGGAGCTCACATAATCAATTTCAGAAAGTTCGCTGTAGTTGGATATTTGTAACGTTAAAGTTCAGACACGAGTTTAGACTCCTGTAGTTTTTAGTGGCGTTTTATACTGTTTCCTTTCTCAAATTCAGTTGTTCGTCTTCCTAAACTTCCGTTTGCATTTTCTAAAATTTGAAATGGTCTCAAAAACAGATGATTTGGAGACGTGCTCTACTATTAGATGTGGCCTTACTGGAACAAAGGTTCCCCGTTTAGTTCACTCCTTCAAAAGGAGGTGTACAAACGCGACCCGAGGAACCAAGCCTTGCATTTTGAACATTTTACATGCAAATTTTGATATTTAAACTCCCTTAAACTTTGGTTTGGATTTAGAAGATTTCAATGTGTAATAGATACGAACATACCCAAAGATATTATATTGGATTGTTGTCTCTGTTTTTTGAATATTCGAAGAGTATGTCGGGATTTGTGGCCTCTCGCACACCGAAAGTAGGAAGCTTTACGCCGTTGGTCATTGATGCGTTTATCGTGGCCTTGGTGTCTCACCAACTAGTAGACTAGTATTAATGACAAAAACAAAAAAACTAGCTGTAATTAACTCATCAACCAGCACTAATAGTGTTTTGTGACTTTCTTTTTTATGTACAGTAATTTAACTTTTGAATTTTATGCGTCCATTTGTAAAAAAACAAAAACAAAAGTAAGAAAAAGACAAACCATTCAGCCATTTTGTTATTTTTTCGTGTGTCTCAGTTATGTCCTTGGTGTTTCTCGTCGAAACGGTTGGGTGTTTGTATCTTATAGGTTATTGTCTGGCTAGTAAAAGGACATCATGGGACTAGAAACATGGAAGTAAATGGCCTTTAAATAAGTGTCTCAAAGATGTAAGCATACAGCAATACTGTATAGGTCACTTTTTGTGTCTTGGTCTGTGGAAATAGCCACTGATTTTTCACCAGCCTGATCCACAGCATATGTGATCATGAAGAACAGCTGGCTCAACTAGAGTCATCTTCACTTTCTTTTACACGTCATACTAATTTAATCAGACACCTTTTTGGTAGATTTGTAGATTTGCGTGGATCCTCCACTGTCTTCCTTACTTGGAAAATCTGTAGTGTAGTACACTAGTACAAGTAGGCGACCCGTCAAACAAGGCAATATTCCAGCATTGTAGGCCTATAATGTAGTATATTTCGGGAAAAAACTGTAACTTGAATGTTTCTGCAAAAAAAAAAGTTCACTTGTTGCCTCCACTAGCTTTTTCTTTTCACCATCTTCAACAACATCATCTCTCTTTCTTGCTAAAAATGTCTTTATTCTGTCCTGGATGGCCTCTTTGCAAAAATCTTCCATGAGGTGGTTTAACCTGAAGCTCTTGCACTCCCAGAATTCTTCCATTTGATCATATTCTTGCAATTCAGTATCATGTAAGCGCACACTTCCATTTGGAGGAAGATGGCACTGGGCAAAAGCATGGATGCATTTTTTAATGTTATTTTTCATTTGTCATTCATGTTAAACTTTAACTATGCCCACATTAAGCAGTCCATTTAATTTCTAATATTTGATGCTTTTGTCATGGTCAGAGCTTACCATGTAAAGTGGTATTGTATTTTTCTATTTTTTTTCCCTTGATTTATATAGCTTCATGACCCCAAAAAGACAAACAAGTGCTTTAAGCCAGTCCGCCTTGAAATGATACAGCATCATTGAAACAATTCCTACACAAACTAAAGAAACGATTAATTCAGACTGTAAATTCAGTGTGACGTTATCATGTTTTCATTAGCGTAGCACAATATATCAACATTTCTGAACCACTCCGTCACTCGGATTGCTGCCTCTGTTCCACGTTTTTTTTTACACTGTGGATTTGCTCAGTTCTGCCCCTCACTTATATGGCGTTATGCTGATAAAGTGCATTATGTTGCTCTCCGAACAAACCGATTGACAATCTTGCAGTTTTTTACTGTTTACATGTTTATTTTGTATTTTTTGAAGGTGTTGAGCTTTAGAATGAAGAATTTATTCTGACCCATATCTGAAACTGGCATGTTGAGAAACTGTTTAAATTCTAACAAAATCCATAAATTTGCTTTATATCATTTTTCTGTCCATTATAAATCAGTTGCAGAGCTTGACTCTGAAACGTTTTGAACTTAACGTCCGAGGCATGTATGTAGAGGCCACGTACCAAGCCTTAAAAACGCAATTAATGGCAATCCGAGTGAACTAATTGTTCGTTTTTTTCTTTAAAAATCAAAGTCAGCTGGTGACATTTATACGTATCTATTGGTTTTATATTTCTTCATTCACTTTGCTCTTCCAAAAACTCCTTATTTTGTGCTTGATGAGCTCTGATCAATGTATAGATGATATGTCTTATAATGTCTTATACTTACTTTTTCATGCACTGCTTATCAAACATGGCACGAGAGGCAGCTTTTAAAAGATATCTCAGTAGTTCTAGAAAAAAAGAGGATGGGAAAATGTACCGTAGGCAAACACAGTGGTAATCTTTAGTGGCTTTCTAGTTCCATACTTCCATACAAAGAGCTTAATTGGTCATGATGTTGTTTTGTTTTGCCTGTTGGACATAAATGTGTAATCAAAGGCTTATACAGCTTTTTCTGTTTTACCATCTGGAGAGTTGTGTGGTGGACTGACCACATGTGTTGTACTGTGTATCAAGTTATTATGCCTTTAGGACGGTTTTAGTCTGCTGGTTTTGCACTTAAGAGAAAACCACATTTGTCTAGATTAGTTGCTTACAGAGTGTAACGGTCACTTTTCATGTAAAGCAATCCTGCTGTGCCTGATTTGATGCTCTGTGCTAGGCTTTACATGTGCAGTTCGTCCTCCACCCTTCTTACACTTTCACTTGCCCTTTGTCAGTGTTTCTTTCTTTCCTTTCTCCTTCTTGGTCTGTTCTGGTTATAATATTCAGAGGTATCAATATGGTAGCAATCTCAGTCCTTAATGGGCCGTGATGTTAGGATCATGTGCCCTAATGTGAAACAAGGGGGCAGAAAAAAAACAAAAACATTAGTTCTGTTTCGTTTGTTTGATTTTGTACATATTGCACCTGCTCAGTTCCATATGTCATTAAATAATAAAACCGCAACATTGGCATACAAATCTAAATCTCTTGTATATTCCTTTTGTAATATACTGCAACTTCTTAAAAGACCCTGAACAGGCTTTCTGAGAACTTTATGCTTACCAAAACATTTTTCAATTATTTTATGCCTAATTTTGTTTAGGTTGCTGTACTGCATTGGAAAGAATTTCTCAATTTGTCAGTGTGCCCAAATATTTAGCACCCACACTGTCAGCCAACGTTCAGCTCAATGTTTTTATTGAGTCATTCCATGTTTTATGTCTTTCACAGACTTCTTTTATCCGTAATGGCTAATAGATGAGATAAAGCAAGCCTGATCTCAGTTATTTTGTAGCCTGGGGTTGAACTTGCAAATTTGCCAGTTTTTTTTTTTTTTCTTGAAGGGATAGTTCATCCAAAATGAATTCTGTCATCATTTACTCAAACCTATTAGAAGATATTTTAAAGAACGTTTCAGCTGTTTTTGTCCATATTTTGAAAGTCAGTCTAACACTGACTTCAAAATGTCAATCTTTTATGTTCTACAGGAGAAAGTACGTTTTTCAGTTTTCATCACATCAGCTGTTAACCAGGTGCCTCCACCACATGCTTCTGGCGTAAACCGTATTATACAAGAGCATCCGGTTAACTTTTTTTAGGAATGGCTTTTAAAATTTGAGTTAAAAAAATAAAACATGCAGAGCTTTCTAAATGTTGTCTCATAAAAACACATTTTTAAGTTTTAATGTATGCACTTCACAAGAATACAGTGACGCAACTGTAAAACAAAACGAAAAAAAAAAACCATAGGAAAATTTTGGACTGACCCTCAGGTTGCATTTCATACAAAGCACTCCTAAAATATTAATGCATTAGATGATATATGAACTGGCATCCGTGAATCTCCTCGTGGTTTTGAAACGTTTTCTTTAATAAGTAGGTATTTATTTTTTGGGGTGGTTAAATCTGCTGGTATAGACTTTAGACAGTTTAATGTGTCAGTATTATACCGACATACAGTCAGTGTTAGAGAGCATATGGACATGTGCGTCATCTCAACAGCATTACAACATCCTATTCATTTATGTATATGCTGTCAACTTCATCTCAATGAGAGAGGAAAATAAAAATGTGAGTTTGGCATATACAAATATTACAAACAAAATGACTGCGTGTCCTGGTGAAAATAGCCCAGATGTCAGAAGCAGCCTTGAGTGGGTTCTTTGAAATGCCCAACAGGTGTGAAAAGTCTCATGCAATGATAAGGACAGACTCTATGTACAAACAGTGCGGCTGAACCAACACACAAGATAAAGACATCACCGTGTACTTTCCTAGAAGAAAGCGGTTAATGCTACACATCAACATATGGACATTACACAAGTACCAGTTGGTACATTTTGTACACAGTTTACACATATTCGCATGTTTATGTGGTATTGGCAAAGCATCCAAAGTGGTTTTAAGTACGTGTGTCATAGATTTATCAAACAGAATGATCTGTGTAGTCCTTACTAAAGCAGATGTGACGAACAAACTATCAAATATAGGTCA